ACTGACTGAGCCATCCAGGCACCCTTCATTCTAATTTTAAGTTTAAAAGAACGAATGGCAAGAATGGCAGTGTTTGTAAAAGATCATTGATGTTTATGTAAAAGTTTAATTTATGGGCGGAATGGAAGTGTTAACATTGTTATGAGGAGGCTAACTGGTGGATCACATATTTAAAATTTTCTTTACCTCTTTGTCCTGTATCCTTCACATTCCTGTCATCAGATTCTGCTGATTTTTACAATTAGATTTTTTGGGTCATCTACTCTTTTTTTCCTGTAATCATATGGCCTGGTCCCTTAATTGTACATAAGTCTGTTTTCTTATGTCCTTCCCTCTCTTTAGCCATTTTCTGTTTATGTTGTACACATAACCTCAGGTATTCTGAACTCACCTGTGTTTTTTATTTGATGCTTGTTGTGTGCTAGCATTATATAATGTGGGCAAAATAAGTAACTTTGTTATTTCCTTGAACTTTCTTTCCTCAGTCTTTACTTAGAACTGATCATTTGAAGAAGAGAAAGCATCTTGATTTTATTATTAATTGGAATTAAATAATACTGCACTTTACCAAATTTACTAGAAGACCGTAATCTCTGATTGCTTGAATAGTAGGAATGCCCTTTTTCCTTGAATTTAAAGTTCAGAGTTTATATAAAATTCTTTCTAGTCAACACATATTTCTGCCACAGAGGTCTTTTGTGGCTTGTCATACCTCTGACCACAAAGTTAGCCCTTGCTTAACTGGTTTTATTTCTTATTCAGCTCATACTGCTAATTTACTGGGTCTCAGCACCCTTACTTGTTTTACCTTGTTCACTGATTAGGTTGGGATAAGCTAAGGATTCACTTTAATTTCTTTATATTTAAGTTGTTAGGGTGCCTGGGTAGTGCATTTGGGTAAGTGTCTGATGCTTGATTTCAGTCGTGATCTCGAGCCCTGTATCAGGCTCCATGTTTAGTGGGGAGTCTGCTTGGGACTCTCTCTCCCTCTCCTTCTGCTGCACCCCCCCCCCAATAAATAAATAAGTCTTTTAAAAGAAATAATAAATTGTCAAAGTTTTTTGTACTGGAGAGTTAGGATGAAGAACCAAAATCATGTCAAAGCATTGACTTTCAGAAAGGATCAAAAGAACATTAATACAAATTTTAAAATTTTTAAAAAGTTTTTTATTTGAGTAATCTCTGTACCCCATGTAGGCCTTGAACTCATGACCCTGAGATCAAGAGTTGCATGCTCTTCTGACTGAGCCATCCAGGTGCCCCAGAAGAACATTAACATATGCCATGAAACTATACACAGTAGATACTGTATGTGTGTATGTAACAATAAAGCAGGGAAACTTGTTTTCTACCATGACTAATCATTGGGTTCAACAGATATGTCAAATGTCTCTCATGTTTAAATTACTAAATGCTATATAAAGACTGTCTACATCTTTGTCATGACAGGGATTACAGTGTTAATTAAACTAAAAACTAGTAAACTTAATAAAAGCAAAGGCAGAATGAAGCGCTGTAGGAACCATACATAAATATGAAAATGCAGAGGAAACGTTGAGACAGTAGCAATTTAACTTCTTAGGTTTAAAGAAGCATTGAATCAGGTCACTTGTTTCTCAAGAAGTAGGATTTTATTAGGTAGGAAAGGAAGAAGGATCATTGTGAGTGGAACTTCCAGAGTAGCATATGAAAATACATAGCCCTTGTGAGGGACAGCAAACAGCTAAGGGTGTTAGAATGCCAGGGGGCTGGGTGGGATTTGGTATAGGAGGAAGCTGAAAAGGTACATAACAATGTAAAATACCCAGAGTTTAAATTTCATTTTTCAGGTATTAGAGAAGTATTTGAAAAGTATTTACATGATCACATCTGTTTTAGGAAGATATTCTAGAAGATGTGAGGTTAAAAATGGAAAATTATTAGAGATCTTTGCATTAGCCTGTGTAACAGTTGATACTGACAATTTTTTGGTTCCCTGTCATACAGTTGACTGTTTTTATTCTTCTTATTTACTCTAGGAATTTAAATTTCGGGAAATAGTAAGTGATCTATTTCCTAATACTAGGACTATAACAAAAAAGGTTTTATGCATTCTAAACTGAGTTTTGGGGGTGCCTGGATGGCTCAGTTAGTTAACTCTTTGCCTTTATTTCAGGTCATGATCTCAGGGTCCTGGCATCAAGCCCCACATCAGGCTCCCTGCTCAGTGGAGAGTCTGCTTCTCCCTCTCTCTCCCTCTCTCTCCCCCTCCGCCCCACTTGTGCGCTCTCTCTCTGTCTCAAATAAATAAATAAACAAACAAACAAACTGGGATTTGAGCACTTAATTTCTCTTGTTCAGGCTTCACAAGTGACCCTTGGGCAAACTCTTAAGTTCTTTTGAGTTTGTCTTTTTATGTGTAAAAATTAAGATGATAGTATCTATCTCACAGACTAGTCTTGATTATTGAAATGACAATGTTTTAAGTCTAGACACATAGCAAACACTGACAGTTGGTGTTAGTTTCCTTTACCCTTCTTATTTTCCCATTTAAAGTTTCCTAAAATGGTTCTATTGGGGTTGGATGGGATTATGTGGCAAAACAACTTCCAAAAGTTTGAATCCTTTTTACCCCCCAAGATTTTATTTATTTGACAGAGAGTGAGCATGCGCACACACAAGCAGGGAGAGCTGCAGGCAGAGGGAGAGGGAGAAGTAGACTCCCTGCCCAGCGGAGAGCCTGATGTGGGACTCTATTCCAGGGCTTTGGAATCATGACCTCAGCTGAAGGCAGGTGCTTAACTGACTGAGCCACCCAGGTGCCCTAAAAAACCACTGAGGGCGGATCATTTCCTTCCTGTCAGGCCTGCATTGCTTTGGTTAATCAGTTTTAGAGGAACGCAAGAACCCCTGAAATACAATGGTGGGCCTTGCATAATTGTTTAGGCTGTTTCACCTTTTCTCAGACCAGAAATATATTAAAAACAAGGGTTTTATTATATTTTTTCTGTGGCAATCCTGTGATTGAATTTTGTTCTGTATTAAGTACTAGAGCTTTATAGTACATATTAATCAGAGATAGGTCTTGTCCCCACTTGAGTATTTTCCGTTCTGAAAAAGACTTCTCAGTGTTTATACTTGGATGTCTCACGCAAATCTCAAATTTTATATGTTCAGTACAATACTCTTGATTTCTTCTTGCCCATGCCACTCCCCTCAAACTTGTTTCCCATATCTTTTCCATCTTATTAAATGATACTATCTTCCATTCCGTTAATCATGCTGGAAACCTGAGAGTTATCATTGCTGCTTCTTTTCTCCAACTTCCTCATGTAATCTAATTCTATTGGTTCTCCTTAGAAAATACTTACTCCTCCCTTACTCCTCCATGAACATATCCATGTTCACCACCAGATCACTGTCATTTCTTGATTAGATGGCTCTAGTAGTCTCTTAACTCCTACTTTTGTTTCCCTTTCATTTTTCCCACAGCAGTGGAATGATCTTTGAGTTTTAGTCTGATCACCTCTGTATTCTCAGTGCCCCAGATAGTACCTGATATATGTAGTAGGCACTTAGTAAATTTGTTGAATAGCACTCTTTTACTTAAAATTCCTCACTGGCTCCTTATTGCCTACTTCAGTAATATCTCTTACAGCTCTTTTTCTTTGTTGACAGATATTTTTTTTGATACTGCATATTGATTTCAAATCTCATTGAACTTTATTACACCAAGTATTATAAAATACTGATGGAGCTCTAATTTATAGAATGTGAATACATTGTTGGAGTACTAACCCTGTAGCTGGCTTACATGCTATCAAAACAAGGCATGTAAGTACCAAAGGGCAGAAGTCTGTGGTACTTGTGATGTCAGGAGATTCATGGCTGCTACCTGGGACTGGACTTGTAGGATGCCCAGACTGTCTGTACTTTAAACTATATATTGATCTTCTTGGGTAGCTGCTATACAGAGGACTCTAACAACTCCAAGGGTCGCTTTACCTTGACAGGTACTGGCATTCTCTGTGCTTTGCAAGGGATTATTTCCATGGCTGTGATCACCTCATTTATGGGGGAGTAATTTCTCATTTGTGGGAACCATGGGGTACTCTGCTGGATACATATCTACTTGTTACACCTTCCAAGGGGCTTCGACAAGGTTATTTTTTGGCAAAAGTGACTAACTCAAGGGTGAAAATGATGGAGTCAGTATCTTAATTAAGATGCATTTTGTAGGAAGCTCTTGCTAATATGAGATATATGAGATGCTAAAAATAATCCTACTTTGTAACTCTCTTCCTCTGGTGGCTTTCCAGCATGCTTAGAATAAAATCCAAATTCCTTATCTGGGCCTACAAAGTTAAATGTGATCTCACCTCATACTTCCCTCTTTGCTATATTTTCCTCAGATATGCCAAGTTTTGTTTTTTGTTTTTGTTTTTTGTTTGTTTTTGTTTGTTTTTTTTTGCTTCTCTCTAGAATGCTCTTCCTACTTCTCATGGCTAATTCCCTGTATTTAGATGTTTGCTCAAAATGCTTCCTCAGAGGCCTTCCTTACTACCAGGTCATATTCTGCCACAGGAGCCTGTTTTTTAGCATATGGACTTCTCTAGCTAGGATATTATCTTCCTGAGAGCCAGAGGCTTTTCTGTATTGTAAACTGCTCTAGTTATAGTTAGAGCAATATCTGGTACATGGTAAGCATTCAAATATTTGTTAACCAGGTTTGTTGCTGTACTTTCCAATTGACATTAGAGTTCTGAGACTGTTGATACCGACATTGGAGGTATATTAATAGTAATTTGGATGCATTATATGGGGGAAGGACTATGTTTATTTACTAGGTTGGGAGGAAATACAAAGGTCATGACTTAATGAAATTAGTAAATATTCTAGAGCAAAACTGCCTCTCTGAGTAAAAGTAATAATGTTCTGTGTAACCTTTATGAAATTAAGTTGATTTGAAGGACGAACTAACATCTTGAATATTTAAATATTTTCCCTTTTCTTTTGCCTAGTCATTTCAGCAAAACTTAAAGAAAATAAAAAGAATTGGTTTGGACCAAGTCCTTATGTGGAAGTCACAGTAGATGGACAGTCAAAGAAGACAGAAAAATGCAACAACACGAACAGTCCCAAATGGAAGCAACCTCTTACAGTGTAGGTTTGAAAGTATTTTCTATAGTATATTTAGTTTAGTAGGTGAACAGAAACGAAGCTTTAAAAATTTCTCGCTTGTTTTCTTTGCTCCTCCTCCTCTTTCATTTTTTTTTTTCTTTCTCCCCTATTCCTAGGACTACTTTCTTTAGTCCCCTTTTGTTTCTCTTTAGATATTTCTTTCTCCAATCTCTCCTTTATCTTCTGTAGGTTAGTTGATGATGGTATCATTACTGCTGCTGAACAGTATCTGGAGAGCCCATGGTCATGGGCCTAGAAAGATTCTTACCAGCTCTTTCCTTAATTTAGAGCTATGAGTAGCTCACTTAATTCTCATTTATTTATTTATTTATTTGAGGGAGTGAGAAAGAGAGAACTCGCATGAGGGGGTGAGGGGGTAGGCGGGGTGGTCGAGGTGGGCAGAGGGAGAGGGAGACCAGACTCCCTGCTGAAGAGGGAGCCTGAGGCAGGGCTGGATCCCAGCACCTGGGATCATGTCCTGAGCTGAAGGCAGACGCTTAATCGACTGAGCCACCCAGGTGTCCCACTCACTTTATTTTTTAGTTTAATTTTTAAAAAAATAGTTTTCTTTTGTGTTTTAATTATAGTGCCCACACAGAACCTACATGGGAGTTTTCTTCCTTTAAAAAAAATGCAAACTTTATTCTATAACTGTTTTTATACTTTACATAGTATGGTTATCTCTCTAGCTGTATATATAGAGATCTAACATACATTATATAGTTCTATAATATTCCATAATAAGAATGGACTGTCATTTATTTTACTAGTTCTCTATTATCACTTGGTTTCTAATGTTGTGTTATTACACAGCATCGCAGTATACATCATGTGCCTGTGTCTGTAATTTGGTGCTGTTATCTGTAGAATGAATTCACCGAAGTAGCAGATAGCTCAGTTTTTAACACTTACTGACAGAGCCCCATATGTTGGTGTTGAATACTCACTGAAGAGAATTACAGATTAATTTTAATGTTTTTACTAAAATGGAAGAAAATGTGATTTAACAACAAATGGACTTCAAAAGAATAATAGCATATTTAGTTTGGGTACCACCTATATTAAAATGTAGCTCAAAATATAATTGGTTGTTACCACATCAAATACACAGAAATTGTTTTTTATTACCTAACGTTGGAATTCTTGCATTTTTTCCCTTAGAGAAGTAAACCAGTGACTAAAGAAAAGTTTTATTTCTAAACGGTGAGATAAGATATTTGAAACTATGTGCTCTTCACATAGTACACACTTATGTGTATAGTATTTATTCCTAATAAATTACAAAACAAATTGGATATACCTAAATTGTTCTTTAACTTTTGGATTTCTAGGGTATCTTTTTTTTTTTTTTTCTTTTCAGCATAACAGAATTCATTGTTTATGCACCAGACCCAGTGCTCCATGTAATACGTGCCCTCCATAATATCTTGATATACTTTATGATGATTTTGAGCAAATGAATGAAATTTAAGAAGTATCATTCTGATGGCTCTCATTTGTATTAATTTCAACAAAGTTTCTTAGACTTTGTTTTTAATTAATGATAGGTTAGAGATTGTCTCTAAATTTTAAATTATGTGAGTAAAATTTTTTTTTTAAAAAGCAAATAAAATCTATTAAAGTTCACAGCCTCCATAATGACTAGAGATGTTCAGCAGAATAACTGAGTATTGACTGAATACTCATCTAGTTTCTCCCAGCTGCTGGCTGTGTTTACTAGATGTGCACTTTGAGGCTCTTAAACTGATGATGTGAATTCTTTAGTGGTTTAAAAGTTAAGAAAAAAGAAACTCTCCCTGTAGCCCCTTAAGGTAGTGCTCTTGTTGAGCCCAGATGTTTGGGGAAACACATAACTCAAGTTTTGAATTTTTAAGTTGCAACAGATTGGTCTGCAATTTTAACGTGGCTTCCATTATAGACATTGTTTCTAGAATTGAAATAATTTAGGTCAGACCATCTTTGACAGTATACTTTATCCTCTCTCAAATTAAAGTAAAATTACTCATTTATTTTATTCTATCCCCACTACGATTTCCCAGATGACTAATGGAGGAATGTTTTCTTGATATGTTCTTCTGAATGTAATATCTGAGAATTTTATTTTATTTTTAAATTTTTAATTTCTAATTTTTTTTCAAGATTTTATTTATTTATCTGACAGGGAGACAGCAGCAGCAGGAATACAAGCAGGGGGAGTGGGAGAGGGAAAGCAGGCCTCCCGCCAAGCAGGGAGCCTGATGCAGGGCTCCATCCCAAGAACCGGGATCATGACCTGAGCTGAAGGCAGTTGCTTAACAACTGAGCTACCCAAGCACCCCCATTAAGAATTTCAAAGAGAAGACTACATTGTCCTTCCCCACCCCACAAAAGAAGAGGCATTGTTAAGATGAGAATTTTTTAGTTTGTTTAAACTGTTAAAATGGTGGTGGAAATATGATGGGGGGATTAGGCATAGGTAGACTTCTGAGAAAGTGTTTATTTGTCCCCCCAGATTTGATCACCTTTTAGAAGGACTGAGTCACCCAGGTGTCCCCAGATAGTATTCTTTTTTTTTTTTTAAAGATTTTATCCATCCATTTGACAGAGATCACAAGTACGCAGAGAGGAAGGGGGAAGCAGGCTCCCTGCTGAGCAGAGAGCCCGGTGCTGGGCTCTGTCCCAGGGCCCTGAGATCATGACCTGAGCCAAAGGCAGAGGCTCAACCCACTGAGCCACCCAGGTGACTCCTTCTCCCCTCCCAGATAGTATTCTATATAAGCATTTGGCAAGGTGCAAGTGAGTCTATATTTGACGGTTATCACAGACACTTTGCTTCTAATAGTGTGAAATTTAGGGTATTTAACATAATCCTCAAATCATGTAGCTGACCGAAGAACTTTTTTTTTCTCAAGACTGAGGAAGTTTTCAATACGGATTTTAATGCCAGACTTTGTTCAAATTACAGGCTGCCATTGACTAGCTAGCTAGCTGTGCAATGTTGGGTAATTTGCTTAACTTCTCTGAATAGCAGTTTCTATATCTGAAGATGGGGTGGTAATTCCCATCTCTTGTGGTTGCTTTGAGGATTAAATGATATAACCTCAGGCTTATCACTACCTGACCTAAAATAGGGATTTAATTTATAAATTAACTTTTTTATACTATTGAAATAAAACTAGATTTCTAACAGTTTGTAGCATGATAGGCAGTTTTACTTTTATTGATGATGCGTGAAGTTGCCCCTGTAGTTCAACTACAAGTGAAAATGACGATATGAGCATGTAGCATTCAGGTGTTTTCCATTAGGTTATAGAAAATGGGCAATATTGGTTGTACAGTAAACTCTTAAGGTCTACAGTTAAAATATCTTAGACATTAAAATTTAATTGCAATTTATTTAGGATCTATTGTAATTATTTTAATGAAAACAATACATACTTTTTACCCTTCTTTGCTTTTAGTATCGTCACCCCTGTGAGTAAATTACATTTTCGTGTATGGAGTCACCAGACACTGAAATCTGATGTTTTGTTGGGAACTGCTGCATTAGATATCTTTGAAACCTTAAAGTCAAACAACATGAAACGTATGTATGTAAAAGTAACAGAAATTGTGCTAGGCTATTTGTTTTTCTGTATGAAATTCATATGTAAAAGATACAGAATGACTATGTTCACTATTTGTTTTTAAGCTTACTTGGTTATAATATTAATGAGAAGAACCTTGAACTATTTATTTAAAGCATTCCAAATAACCTTGGTGTAGCCATTCATTTTTGACCCAGTATTTTTCATAAATTTAAAATATTATATACTCAATTATGGAAAACTAAAAAATACAGAGCAGAAATGAAGGAAAAATGTAATCCCATTTCAGAGACAAATATGGTTAATATTTTGGCAGATTTTCTTTTCAAATACTTTGAAAATTTACTAATTTTAGATGGCTGTGGTTTTATTTGAGTGTATGTATATATAAAATACAGATATAATAAACTTGAAACGTTTGTCTTTATTAGTATTATGATTTTAAAATATAGATATTTTTCTTCCCCCTTGACTAGCTAAAACATACTTCCTAAATCTCATTTAAGAGATATAATCCATTTTTTTTTTTTTAGTTGGTTCCATGCCCAGCGTGGAGCCCATCACAGGGCTTGAACTCATGACCCTGAGTGTTAAGACCTTAGCTGAGATCAAGAGTTGAAAGCTTCACCAACTGAGCAACTCAGGTGCTCTGAGACACAATCCATTCTTATGTTACATGTTTTCACTCAATAAAATTCAGGCATATGTTGCTGAATAATCCTGCTGACTTATTTTATGCAAGGATGGAATGAATATAACAGATGATTGAGCTAGTTAGTATTTTACATTATGGATATCAAGCATTAGCAAATTTCGTTCTGTTTTTTAAATGTTTTGTGTCAGAAGGCCTGAAACCTCAGTGAAATATACTAAAAACAATTTATAAACACATAAATATCAAGTTTTTCTGACGTTCTTTTTAACAGTTAAGATGACTTAAAGAAAGAAAAAATGATCATTTTGTTCTGTAATTATATTCTTTTACAGTTGAGGAAGTAGTTGTGACTTTACAGCTTGTAGGTGACAAAGAGCCGACAGAGACAATAGGAGACTTGTCAGTTTGTCTTGATGGGCTGCAGTTAGATTCTGAAGTTGTTACCAATGGTGAAACTACATGTTCAGAAAGTAAGTAATCACTTTTTCTATAGGCTCTTTAATGATTCTTAACATTAGCCACCAAAGAATGCTGATGTAATCAGTGCTGTTCTTTTTCACCTTAAAAAAATTACTTCCTTTTTGAAAGGAGACATTGATTATTTTAAACATTTTCCTTTTATTGTGTTGTTTCTGTGAATAAAACATTTTTCTGTAAGTTGAAAAGCTAACCACAGAAAAGTTGAATCACAGTTCACTGTGTAATGAGTAGACTTATAAAGTATTTATTTTATAGGCCAGTAATCACAGTTAATATGACTTATGATGCTACATCTCCTCCAGTGCCAGTGGCTGACATAATTTGCCTGCAGCAATATCTGGTTGAATATAAATTTGATGCAAAATCCCGCTTAGTGCTTAGTAATCCTACTTAGTACTGTACCAGACTGCCAATACAAGCTGAAGTCCATTTGCCATTCCTATGCCATTTTCTGTAGGCTACATTTATAAAGCCATCTTTGTGTTACAATAATAACAAAATCAATTCATTATATGTATGCCATTATATCTTACAAATTATGATTTACTAGTTTTTGTTAAAGGGAATAAGAAACATGAAACAACAGTAATTAAAAGAAGTTTGGCACCTGAATTAGTGCCTGTATAGCTAGCATGCTTAATAAAACTACTTCTTAGTGGATTCCTCCTAGATACTCAAGTGAAACTTAAAGGCCCCAAGACAAAGAGAAGATTAATGGTTTTCTTGATTAGTCTGACAAAGTTTTTGTTTATTTATTAGGAACTACATTATGAAACATTTTGCAGTTGTCAGGTGTTACTATTCTTCCGTTTCTGCTTTGGAAAACTTCCTTCCTACTTTTTTAACTTGTGAAATTTTTTTTTTAAAGATTTTATTTATTCATTTGAGACAGAGATACAGAGATAAAGATACAGACCGAGATACAGCTTTTTTAATAGCAGGACCTTCAAGATAGTCTCAGTGTATCTTCCAGGTTGGGTCTTTGAGATTAATGAGGGTGGAGAGAAATTTCTGAAATGATCATACTGTACTGCTTCAGAGTTGACAGGTTCATTTTAATTGACTGCCATTCACAGGAGCTCTGAATAGTCAATTTTTCTAGAGATTAGAATTCTGGAAGATAACATACAACTTAAATTTCATTGTTAAGGGGCGCCTGGGTGGCTCAGTAGGTTAGAGCCTCTGCCTTCAGCTCAGGTCACGATCCCAGGGTCCTGGGATCGAGCCCCGCATCGGGCTCTCTGCTCAGCAGGGAGCCTGCTTCCTCCTCTCTCTCTGCCTGCCTCTCTGCCTACTTGTGATCTCTGTCTGTCAAATAAATAAATAAAGTCTAAAAAAAAAAAATTTCATTGTTAAATTGCTCTAAACTCAGTATTTATAGCTTCCCAAGTTTTTTTAATGCCCTACAAGTTGAAACTATTAATGCAGAATATTTAATAATTAACAAAACATATTTGTCTTCATATTTCAGAGTAGAACCTAAACTGCATATTTATACTTACTTTAATGTTTATTGCCCATGGAAGTGAACAGTTCTATGTCACCAGTTTTCCACTCAGCTAGGAAAATAATTGATAGAATTTTAACCTGCTACTTAGAAAGAGGTTTTTAGCTGGAAAATCACAGTGGTTGCCAAATAAAATAGCTGCCAGTTTTTGAATGCTTGCTGTGTGCCAACCACTATGTTGGTGTGTTTACATATATACTCATTTAACCATCATAGCTTTGTAAGGCATAACCTATATTTTGCATATAAGGAAAGTGAGGTTCTGATCATTTAAATAGTAAGTCCAACATCTTACCAGCTAGTATGATGCAGAGTCAAGACTGAAACACAAATATTTATTGATGTTTCCTATTCTTTCCAATTGGTTTCACACTTAAAAACCTAGAAATTTTGAATCACATCATGAATTGTAAGCAAACAAACAAAATCCAGTTCCTTTCACAAGCATGTGTGATAGAAACTACCCTTTATTGTTCTTTGGTTCCATTTCTGTAACTTTAACTGCAAGCTAGAAATGAAAATTAGAGTTTAGTACTAAAATTGAATTTCTAGTACCTGCAGTTGTTTGGTTGGATGAGAACTGGGGGGATGAGGGAGATTGCTTTTGTATTCCAGTAATTTTCTACTGTTAAAGATTTTTAGATTTTTTTTCCCTAAGGATGTTAGAAGTTTTGTTTTTGTTTTTTAAGAAAGATTTTATTTTTAAGTACTGTCTACACCCAACGTGGGACTTGAACTTACAACCCTGAGATCAAGAGTCACATGCTCTACTGACTGAGCCAGCCAGGAGCCTCAGTTAGAAGTTTTTGGGGTTTTGTTTTGTTTTTTAAAGATTTTATTTATTTATTTGACAGAGTGAGAGAGATCACAAGTTAGAGAGGCAGGCAGACAGAGAAGGGGAAGCAGGTTCCCTGCTGAACAGAAAAGCCAATGCGGGGCTCAATCCCAGGACCTTGAGATCATGACCTCAGCTGAAGGCAGAGGCTTAACCCACTGAGCCACCCAGGTGCCCCTAGAAGTACTTTTGTGGAAGAACACATAGGATGGTTCCTAGAAGAAATTTGTTCTTATAGATGTAAATATTTTTGGTTAAGTTTTAAATAATACTTATGAAAAGAAATCACTGTCTGAAGTTTAGTATTAAGAGTCATCAAATAATAGCTTGCTATATATTTAAATATACTGTGAAAGTTGGTTTTCCTGATGGGACAGTATTATCTCTTTGGGTACCTAGAAATTTTTGGTCATTGTTCTTGGTGGATAAATTTTCTTTCTTTTTTTTTCTTTTTCTTTCTTTTTTTTTTTTTTTTTTTTTTTTTTTTTTCAGATTTTTTTTTTTTTTTTAAGATTTATTTTTATTTGGCAGGGAGAGGGGCAGAGGGAGAGAGAGTCTCAAGCAGATTCCACACTGAACCTAGAGCCCCATCTCTCAACCCTGAGATCACAATCTAAGCCAAAACCAAGAGTCAGATGCTTAACCAACTATGCCACCCAGGCACCCCTGGTGGATAAATATTCTAAAAATGGCAATTACATAAGTAGACCTTTTTTAAGTGAAGCAAAATTTTCTCAGCATGTTTGTTTTTTCTTTCCACTTATCTTCAAGCTGTATTTGAAAACTAGAGAGCTTTCTATCCCCACTCCAATTTCCCATCCCCTGCTCTGGCTCAGAGAACACTTTTAATATGCAAATGAGTTTTAGTTATAGTTGTCACATTTTCTTTGGTAGTCTTTCTTATTTCTCTGGCTTAGAAAATAATTTCATAATTTGCTCTGGTGTTCTCTTCTACTTAAGTACAGCATTAATAGTCTTTTATGAATCTCTGGGAAGAATCCTTTAGTTAGATAGACTTATTGTTTTAGCACTCAGTTCTAAATTAACAAATTGAGTGTAGGCAGTTGTTCATATCTGCAAGTACTTCCCATTCATCTATTTTTACCTCTTGGGCTGCTGGTGGTGGTAGGTTATTAATTTAACACCTGTCTTCCCAAATATACCATTGAAAAGTATTAATGTCAAAGACATTATTTTTCCTAAAAAAAAAAATCTATTTTAGTTATAAATTCATGATTATAAAATGGGAGTATACTCTTGTAAAGATCTTTATTCTTTACCATGTGTATTCTTGATATATATAAAATTATTTTAGGGATAAGTTTTTTAGCACATGAGACCTTTGGTTCTTATTGTGTGTGTTCCATTTTGACTTTATCTTACTTTCTTGCATTAGACTCTAGTTTTTGTGGTCTCTTTTAATTTTAATGTAAATAGCCATTTTTGTGTGAATATGTAATGTTTGCTTATCAGTATAATAAATTCTAAGAAACTAGCTGAAATTTTTTGCTTTACCAAATATTATTTGTAATTACTAGATCTCAGTAAGGTCTGGGCACCAACTAATTATTTTATGGAGGGAAACTTATTTGACTTATCTTTGACTTTTTCTATGTATGCTCAGGATATGAACGAGTTTGCCCTCCTCAAGAAACTAGGAAAACTCTCCACTAGTTCTACTTTAAAATCCAAGTATTGAAACAGCTGAAGAGGGTAATAAAGAGCTAAATCTTAGTGTCCTCCCAATCTCCCCTGTGTCTCATTAGTTGAACCCAATGCAAGGTAGAGCCAAAGAAGCCAGTTAGTGATTAATGTATGTCCTACAGGTTACACCTGTCAGGCACAGAGCAGGAAGAAAAGGCTGGAGAGTGATGTTCACCCCTATTCTCCCTTGCTTTTTTTTTTTTTTCTTCTTCTTCTTCTTCTTTTTTTTTTTTTTAATACACAGCCAGAGTAGTTTTGAGAAAACATAAGAAAGACCTTGTCAGATGTCTGCCCCAGTGATTTTCTATAGCACCTTAGAAGTCGTTAAAGCCTGTGTGGTCTGACATCCAAAGCTCTTCTACTTTAATGGCTTCATCTCTTACTTACTCTTTTATGCAATTTTCTTGAGTGACACCACTCTCCTTGTGGTTTCTTGAACACTCCAGGAACGTGCCTGCTTTAGGGCCATTAAAGGTTTCTTCCGTCGGCTTGAGCTCTCTTCCTTCAGTATTCCGTGTGATTCACTTCAGGATTTACTTGGATGTCACCCTCTCTGCAAGGTCGTTCCTGGCCATCTGTCTGATGTTTCGACAGCCCTCTCATCAAATCCTGATGTACTTTTCTCCGTAGAAAAATTCTATTTTCTATCTATTTCTATTTCTATTTGCCGTCTATTATATTTTACATTATATGTAGCTTTAATATATTTAGTTTAATGTGAGTTCCCTGAGGATAGGGGTCGTTTTTTTCTGTTTTCCTGATGTTTTCCCAGTTTCTAGATCAGGGTTGACACAAGAAGATGCTTGATAAATACTTGTTTATCAAATGAATAAAACCAAAAAAAGGATATCATCCTTTTCCTAAGTTTTTTCCTATAATAAAATATTTGAAATCCAGAAAAACAAACAAAAAAATCCAAGTATTAAGGCTATAATATGATCATTGTTGGTTTAGAGTAAGATTTTGCTGTATTTTTCATCCTTTTTTTTAAATTTACAAAACACTGACATATTCTCATATACAGCATATATAAAACACATATCTCATTTTATAACATATATTCTTTTATTATGTATAATATATAAACCAGCATAATAGAATTATGCACACATGAACTACTACATAACTTAGAAATTAGAACATTAATAACATCATGGCATCCACCTGTATTTCCCTCCCTATAGCATTCCTTGTCTTTCCCCTACAGATAATCACTACTCTGAATATTGAATTTATTTCCTTGCTTAAAATTTTAAAGATTTTTTTATTATTTTTAAGTGATCTAAGCCAGCCAGATGCTCCTAAAAAATTTTTAATACATATGCATATCCCTAAACAGTGTATTACTTGCCCTTTTTCTTGAGCTCTTTGAATATAGATTTTGCCTTTTAAGATTTATCCATATTACTGTTTCTGTAATTTATTTTCATTGCTGTATGATAATCTGTTAGGTGAATATACCATAATTTATCCATTTTTATATCAAAAGACATTTGGTTTCTTTCTAGTTTTTTGCCATTATGAATAGTCATAGATTGAATATTTCTGCATTTATACATTTATATGTCTCTTGGTACACAGGTTGAAGAGTCTGTGTAGGATGTATACATGGGAATGGAATTGGTACATATTGATATGTGCATTTTCAGATTTATAGCATTTATTGTTTTTCCAAATATGGCCCTTTTTTGTTGTGATTCTTTTAATTGAGGTGAAATTTGTACAACATACAGTTAACCTTATAAAGTAATACAATTCAGTGGCATTTATTGTATTCATAATTAGTATCCACCACCTCTAATTTCAAAACTCTGTCATTACCCAGAAAAATAAACCATTGTCCATTCTATAATCACTCCCAATCCCCCCCCCCACCCCAGCCACCTGGTAAACACTAATCTGCTTTCTGTCTCTGTGGATTTGCCTATTCTGGATATATTATAAAGAAGAAACCATATAGTATGTGACCTTTTGTGTCTGGATTCTTAGCATATTGTTTTTGAGGTTTATCAAGTTGAAGCATGTATCAGTACTTCCCTTTTTTGTGGCTGAATAATATTCCATTGTATGTATATGCCAGTTTGTTTATCCTTTTCATCCACTGGTGGACATGTGACTTATTTTTCCACCGTTGCCTATTAATGAGTCATAAATAATGATGCTATAAACATTTGTGTGCAAGTTTCTTTGTGCATATGTTTTCATTTCTCTTGGGTATATTCCTAGGAATGGAATTGCTGGTGCTTATTTGATAGTTTATTGTTTTTTCCTTGTTAATTTTCTTTTGATACTTTTTTTTAATGTTCTCCATTTGAAAATTCTAATATATGTGTATATAAAAAGAAAATTCCAGTATCAGAAATCTTTGGAGAGATGTATTTATGTCTCTCCTTCCTTGAGGCTTGTTTTTTTACATGTTTGCTACTCTTTGATTGCCAGTTTTATTTTTTATTGTAGTCTTTGGGAATCTTAGGGGCCTAAATTGGGGATTAATTGCCCCAGAGAAAATTTCTTTTGCTTTTGGTAGTGCTAGGGTGTGCTACATACCTGGGAACACTTCAGCTCCTTTAGAGGATCCCAGACCTTTGTTTCTGATCCATCTCAGAGCTGATAATAGCCATCAGGATAACTTTTTTTTGTTCCCCCTCTTATTTGCTTCTTGTACCCTGTTCCTGCTCTAGTATCAGTTCACTTGTTTGTTTGGCTTTTAAGATTACTAGGCACCCAGGAAATAGAACAGTGTGTTAAATAGCTTTGTCTACCAGCTAGTTATTTTGTGGCAGGACAGCCCTTTTGGGTAGCTCCCTGAATAGAAGAGATCTTTGTAGATGTTCTTCCAAAGTGTCCTGTGGGTAATATGTGTGCATTTAGAAAAACGATCATTTTTTGTTGAGGAAATTTGGAGTAGGAATGCTTTAAAAGAACAATACATTTGTAAAATGCAAACTTTAAGTATGGTCATTGTTTCCTTCTTGGACATTCATTGTATAAGTGTCAGATATTTTGTGCCTTTTAAAAAAACTATTCTCTGGAAACACAAGATTAGGTCTATTTAATTTATGCCATACAGTTCATAGTTATGTCTTCACCTCTGTATTGAAGTGAAATAAAAGATCGAACAAAATGGCCCTTGTCTATAGTTACTGATGAAATGTAACATTGAGGGCGCCTGGGTGGCTCAGTGGGTTAGGCCTCTGCCTTGGGCTCAGGTCATGATCTCAGGTTCCTGGGATCGAGTCCCACATTGGGCTCTCTGCTCAGCAGGGAGCCTGCTTCCTTCTCTCTCTCTGCCTGCCTCTCTGCCTATTTGTGATCTCTGTCAAGTAAATAAGTAAAATCTTAAAAAAAAAGAAGCGAATTTGAGAGATAGTGATAGCTAATACTTATAGAGGGCTTATGTGCTGGGCACTGCTCTAAATATTTATGCTTAATCCTCACAACTATTCTATGAAGTAGGTATCCTTATTGTCTCCATTTTGTGTGAGGTAAAATAAAAAGCACAGGAAAATTAAGTGTACTTTTCTAAAGTCATGAAGTTAGTACATGATGGAAGCTATGATGCAGACCAGGCAGTCTGGCCTCAGAGTCCATGTGATTAAATACTATGCTTCTTTGCAATATAAGAAGTTTAGAAGCGGCATTTATTGGTAGATTTAAAAAGAATATTCCAAACGACTTTCTTAATTTTTGAGATAGGTGGGATACTAATTGTCCGATTTTAGTAACACTGTATATTTTTATTTCCTTTTCTGATTTCATTTGTCTCATCAGCTATTTTAGGTGAATATAGTCTATATAAAAATAAGGTTTTGTTTTTGTTTTCTTAAAGATTTTATTTATTTATTTGACAGGCACAGCAAGAGAGGGAACACAAGCAGGGGGCATGGGAGAGGGAGAAGCAGGCCTCCCGCTGAACAGGGAGCCTGATGTGGGGCTTGATCCCAGGATCCTGGGATCATGACCCAAGTGGAACGCAGACATCTAACAAATGAGCCATCCAGGACCCCCTAAAAATAATTCTTGTAAAACTGAAATGTGCCCGTTTTAGCTAAAATGCATTTCATTGTACCATGTTTTTAAAACCATTTTTAACTGTTTCATTGAGGTGTATTTTATATTTCATAAAATGTACTCATTGCAAGTCTACAACTTAATGCTTTTTAGTAATTTAATTGAGTGATCCAGCCATTACTGTAAATCAGGATTAGAACATTTTTATCCCCCTGGCAAGATCCCTCTTATTTACACAAAATTCTGTTCTCACCTCTAAACCAGGCAACCACTTATCTATCTTATCTCCAAAAATTTGTCTTTTCTGAATATTTCATTACCATACAACACTAGTAAAATACTGTTGACTTTATTTCCTTATGCTTTTGTACTTTTTATGCCCCCACTTTTTTTAATGTAATATTTCTAGATAAGATATACCTGCCAACATTGCTGAGGTGATATAATGTAGTGGTGATTCAGCATTTTTTTAATGAATTATTCATTAATTATGCCTTGGAGCAACAGCAGTTATGATTTTACTGTTTAAAACTACGACTGTATTAAGGGACTATTGTTCTTTAACTACAATGAGGCAGACTGTTAAACTTGAATTCTTGTTTCTGCGTTTTATAGTTTTTCCTTCTCTGCCTACTATTTTTCTACAATCACTGTGCCTGCTCTTTAATATTTTTCTAGTGCACAGGCCCCTACTGAATCCTCAGAATAATTACCATGAATAAAATTTGAAGAAAATGTGAAATTTGTGGCATTAATTTGCCACTTTGAGATTAATTGGTACCTTTCCTGTTCTTGTAGTTGTTTGCCAGGCCCTTGCATTAGAGAGATGTTACTAGTTTTTTTTATTTTCAGAATCTGTTTTTTTATCCATTATCCTGATGGTGATCAGAATTTTTTGTGAGGTTTTTAGAATATAAAAGATGGCTGAAGTATTAGATTTGAATTAGAATCAAACAAACAAAAAATAAATACAAATCTTGAGAAAAAAAAAGAATCAAGCAGACATACATTTCAAAAGGCATAAGTAGGACATGAGTAATAATACCTTGACTAATTGACATCTCTTACATGTAGTAAGCATTGGAACAACATTTTGGTAAAACATTTCTAATTTCAGTCACATGAACATATATCACATTTTCCTTGAAATTTAAGTTATAGTATATTTACAATATTTAATGAAAGGCTTTGCATGTTTAGGAAGAAGGTGAAAAACACTTTTTGAATTTCATTTTCTGTGTAAATTTTATTGATGTTAAAGGTGCTTCACAGAGTGATGATGGCTCCAGACCCAAGGATGAAACAAGGTAAGAGTTCACTTTTTGCTTTACTATAGAATATGAGAAGAGATAAGGGAGAATGAATATTAATTGTAGTCAGAATTTTAGTTTGACTAAAACAAAAGTTTAGACTGCTACAAGAATAAATGAGGGTCAAAAAATTCAGGACTCAGGCACCTGGCTGGCTCAGTGCCTGGAGCATGCATTTCTTGATCTCAGGATTGTGAATTTGAGCCCCACCTTCGGTGTAGAGATTAGTTTAGGAAAAAAAATCTTTAAAAAAAAATTCAGGGCTCAGGGTAAGAAAGGAAATATTTATGAATGTTTCAGGACTCTTAGCTCATCTGACTGCAGTTCTCCAGATTAGGACAAGGATACCTGAATTGCTAGTCCTTCTTTCAGTTTATAGAAAGTGAATATATATTGTCACTTTTCCAACAGCAGGGAGTTCCAAATCCTAGGGCCATCATTGGACTGTTAAATTTTTTTTCCTAGGAAAGCTGAGATGTAAGCTTTGGGTATATAAGAAGGTCATCATGATCTGTGGTATCTTTTGGGCCTTTTTTGAAGGAGCAGAGATTTGTACCAGCTGTTCACTATTACCCTAGATTGAGCACTTTTTTTTTTTTTTTTTTTTTTTTTAAGATTTTATTTATTTGAGAGAGAGCATGAGGGGGCCGGTCGGGAAGGAGGGGCACAGGAAGAGGGACAAGCAGACTCCCTGCTGAGTATGGAGCCCAAAGAGCTTAATCCCAGGACCGTAAGAGCATGACCTGAGCCCAAGACAGGGACTTAACTGACTGAGTCACCCAGATACCCCGGTACTATTTTTTTAAGTTTGTTTGTTTATTAATATATAATGTATTATTTGTTTCAGTTTATGAATTTTTTTTATTAATCTTTGTACCCAACGTGGGCCTCAAACTCATGATTCCCAGTTCAAGAGTCAAATGCTCTTCTGACTGAGCCAGCCAGGTGCCAATAGATTCAGCAGTTTCATGTGCCTATCTGCTTTGAGGTCTAGGGTCTGAAAAATGTTGAATGCCTTGGGTTGTGTTAACGGACTTAAACTTTTATTTTAAAATTTTTTCAAAGATTTATTTCTTTGAGAGAGAGAGAGAGAGAATCTTAAGCGCACTCCCTGCCGAGCACAGAGCCTGATGCAGGGCTCCATTCTAGGACCCTGAGATCATGATCTGAGCCAAAATCAAGAGTTGGCCCAGCCACGTAACGGACTGAGCCAACCAAGTGCACCCTGACTTAAATTTTAAGTGTACAGTGGTTGTCCTAGAAGCTGGTAATGGGAGATAAACTTAGAAAAGGAAATGCTCCTAGTCTTAAAGCAGTAAGTAATGTATCTTAAAGAGTTAGAAAATCCCATTGGATTCTTTGTTTTTCCCAAACTGAGTAAGCAGTAAATAGGAAGATGGTGAACCACGGAAGTCATGGTCAGAGGAAAAGAATAGAAAAGCAGTGTCATAGAACATAAGGAAAATATCTGGAGAGGTGGGTGTTACAGTGTCAAGTGCTGTAAGAGAGGAGAGGTGGAGCAAGTAGAACAAAATGTTGGTGGTTATTGAAGCTGAGTTGATAGGGAGTTTGTTGTACCCATCTGTCTACTTTCATGATGTAGGGAAAGTTTCATAATAAAAGTTAAAAAAAGACAACTCAGCAAGATCTTTGGGGAAATGAAAATATATGAAACTGTTGTCTTTCATCTAATAGAGATCTACCTTCACAGTCGCTTCTGTAACAAAGATTCATCTCTCATACTAATCTCACAAGAGCTTAAAAATTAAGGATTAATAACATCTTGTTCAGGGATTAATAACTGCCTTTTTTTTTTTTTTTTGAGAGAGAGAAGGGTGGGAGGAACTGAGGGAGAGGGAGTGAGAGAGAGAGAGAATTTTAAGCAGCTTCCGCGCCCAGTGTGGAGCCCAACGATGCAGGACTCAGTCTCACAACTCTGAGATCATGACCTGAGCTGTCAGACGCTTAACCAACTGAGCCACCCAGACACCCTGGATAATAACTTTTATTGCTCAGTGTGATTAAAAAGCAATAGAAAAGGTTTTTAAAATTATATAAATATCTCTGTAGACTGGAAGACAACATAGGCCTCTTGTTCCTCTTTTTAGTTAGATGTTTAATAGAAGCTTTTTGAATTCCTGAAAATTTCTGCATAATAATGTATTAATACTTCAGTTTTCATTCATGAGTTGAGAACTTTTGCATAATAAATCCATATTTTTCCATTAGTGAGAATGTGATAGAATTTTGTATGCTTTCTTGAAAGTTTAAGTCATTTTCTTTTTTTGCAAATGTCAAGTTTTTTTTTTTTTAATTTTTAAGTAATCTCTGCACCCAATGTGGGGCTCAAATTTATAACCCTGAGATCAAGAGTTGTATGCTCTACTAACTGAACCAGACAAGTGCCCCCTACAAATCTCATTCTTAAAATACTTTATTTATAAACTACTCTGGACAACTATAAGTTTCTTGCAAAGACATTCCTGGAGTCCTAGCTTCATGCCATTTATTTAATCAATGCTCTACATCTTCCCAAGTGAATCATTGTCAAAAATAATCTGAGGAATAGTATCTTCTAAATTTCTGAGATGGCTAGAGTGATCTCTCAGCCTGTCTTTTGTGTTAAGCGTGAATTCCTTTGCATTAGCTTTTACTCCAGAGAGCATACCTTTGAGATGATGGGTTTGAAAAGCATTTTGTAAACTGTCAAATGTTTTCATTTTTTTTTTTTAAGATTTTATTTATTTGATAGAGACACAGCGAGAGAGGGAACACAGTAGGGGGAGTAGGAGGGGGGAAGCAGGCTTCCCACTGAGCAGGGAGCCCGATGAGGGCTCAATCCCAGGACCCTGGGATCATGACCTGAGCCGAAGGCAGACACTTAACAACTGAGCCACCCAGGCACCCCTTTCAGATGTTTTTAAATGGTACTCTGCAGTAATCATGGCCATGACTGGCTTTTCCCCTTTATTTTTATTTGCAGACTTCCTAACTATAAGATTAAAAAGCAGGGCAATATGTATACCCAGTGGACAAGGGCTTTGTGCCCATCTCCTCCAGTCCGTTGCCCTAGTTATCATTTAGGAAGATGACTGAACAACTTTTGGTTAGTTTACTTTTTTGTCCTAATTCAGGCACTATGTATACTGTGACTGTAGTCTTGTTACTCTTCTATTCTCTGTAACATGTCTGGATGTTTTGTGTTTCTCAGTGTTGTTTTTTGTCATTTTTATGAAGTTCAAGGTGATCGCTGCCTTGTACTCAAGATTTTGTTATTAGGAGTACCTTTCTGACTTATGACCTTATTGTATTAGCATCTTGGTTCTCCAGGGTACTTTATCCTGTCCATAAACATCCAGACTTATGTGTAAGTTAGATATATATGTGTGATGCGATAAGGAGAGGTTTGTGGTAAGATTGTGGAGCAGAGGAACAAAGCCATAGTAAAGCACATACTTTGTAGCTAATTCCTTTTAAAAGATAGTTGGTAGTGGTAAATTCATACTGACAATTCTGTATAGTGAATAGGTTTCCATGTTGGTTTTCAAAATCCATTTCAGGTTTTAGTTTCATACCCATTTATTAAAGGAACTAAATGTCTGTGTTTGTCAAACTTTCCATGTTGGTTTTCAAAATCCATTTCAGGTTTTAGTTTCATACCCATTTATTAAAGGAACTAAATGGCTGTGTTTGTCAAACTTCAGAGTGCATCAGAATCACCTGGGAGACTTGTTCAACTACAGATTGTGTCTTAATCTCTAGTTCCCGATTTGCTGTGTCTAGTTTTGGGCCCAAGATTTGTGTTTCTCAGGTTTCTAGGTGATGGTGATGATGTTAGACCAGGCCATATACTTTGAGAACCACTATGGTTAGACATACAGCTATTTCTTAGATTACAGCTAACTAGTATGGGAAATATTTTTCCGTTATGTAATGAAGTCTGTTTCTTGAAAATCCTGCCTTGCAGAATTGTCATTCTACCTTAATCTCATACTCTTTTACTTCAGAACTAGTTTGAATCTTGTTTCTTTTGTTGAACTTTTAAAATTTTTGTTTATTATTAGAAAATATTGCTTTTGATGGTTTTAAAAATGTTTATCAGTATGTAAAATGTTTAAAACCTTCATGAAAGAAATGGCATTTGACCCAAGACCATAAAGCATAATTATAATTTGGCTTTGCATGCTTTGGGGAATTGGAGAGGGGAAGGACTTCTAGGTGGAAGGAAGAAAAACAGTTATGGAGATGGGGAACAATACAGGGTCTTCAGTTATACCATAAATAGCTAAAAATAGAGTAATTGAAAGGGGAAAATGGGAGGTGGTGAATTTGAGAGTGGAATCAACCAGTTAATGTTTATTGCCTCTTATATGTCAGGCAGTGTGTTGAGCATGTTTCCCCTCATTTCAGTGAATCTTGAACATTTTTATGAAGTAGGTAGGTGTATATCATTTTTATGGGTGATGAGAAAACTGAGGCTTAGAAAGAGAAAGGAACTTGCTTGAGTATTAATAAGGCTCAAGGTAGCATAGTTGAACCTGGGATTACCTGACCTTCAGAGCCTGAACTCGTAATTGTCATGCTTTACCGTGACCTAAAGTGGGACTTCTTTTTTTTTTTAATCACATAAGTGCTTGACCCTCAATAAATGTCAGTTATTTTTAATGTTACACAGGTTGGGGCCAGATGGAGGTTTTGGTTTGTAAATACAGACATACTTCATTTTATTGTGCTTTGCAAATATTTTGTTTTTCACAAATTGAAGGTTTGTGGCAACCCTGCATTGAACAAATCTGTCAGCACCATTATTTTTAACAGCATTCACTCACTTGTGTCTCTGTCACATTTTGGTAATTCTTGCACTATTTCAAACTTTTTCATTGTCATATTTGTAGTGGTGATCTGTGATCAGTGATCTTTGATGTTACTGTTGTAATTGTTTTGGAGTACGACAAACTGTGCCCATGTAAGATGGTGAACTTAACTGATAAATGTGT